ACACACACACACACACACACACACACACACACACACACACACACACACACACACACACAGAGCTGTGTCCATCTATCCCTAAAACTAACCTAAACTCAATCTCAATTCACTTCTTGGTCCTGAACTTAACCCCCATCCCACCAATGGTATTTCCCCAAATGGAGAATAGGCTTAGGTCCCCCAAAAGTACCAGTTGGTCCCCACATGTAGGTGTGTAGTCTAAAGATGACACTCATGGTAGGAAATACACGTGCACACACACGGACACACCCCTACCACGTCTCTCTATCCTTGTGGGGACTTTCCATTCACTTCCATTCATTTTTTGGAAATTTTATATCCTAACCCTGACCATTTACCCTAAAATTAACCTCACAGGTACCTACCCCACCCTAAAACTAACCTAAAAACAATTCACACCTTGGACCTAAACCTAACCCCCAACCAAAATAAACCTCTGAAGTCATGGGGATTGGGCTTTGGTCCCCACAAGGCTGTTTTCTGGAAAATGGTCCCCATAATGTAGCAAATACGCATTCACACACACACAGAGAAAGTTCCAGTAACAGCTTTTACTGTCACTGTAGATGAAAAGTACTTTAGCGGACAACAAATCATTTAAAATGGCGACTTGTAAACAAATGTGTCTCTAATCAATGTGCATAAAGGAAGGTTGCCTGAAACATCGCTACTGAATGCACTTCACATGACCTCAGTTTTTCCCTATTTAAACCTCTGAAATTCAGGATGATTCATTTGGTTGTTTTAATATCATCTTATATATTTTCCTTTTTATTTACAGTGTTCATTCCTGCCCAAGTTCTCCATTCACATAGAGACGAAATACGAGGACAACAAAGGAAGCAATGACAATGTAAGTGTATAGCCTGAATGGAAGGGAATTTTATTTTTTGCAATAAAATGCTAACTGTATGATGCAAACACACCTCATATCTATGGTCTATTCGATGTATTGTTTGATTTTTCAGGAAAATCGATCCTTCCTGAGTTACTGTAGCAGATGGCCTTAAGGCAGATGGTGTTTGATGTATTCACTTCACAGATTGTATTTGTGAGGTTTAGGCACATTTTATAATTTTGTGTTTGGGCTTAAATAGACTTAAACCTTTTTTGTGATTAGTGATGGAAATGTGCTTTGTTAATCCTGTTCGGTATTCTCTTTGGTATGCTGTTGCAGAACTTCTTTAAAAACAATGATATGACAACTTATTAGGTAATAGATTTTTTTTTCATATAAATGCCATCTGAGATCACACGGTGGGCTAAGTTCAAGGTCTTAAATTTAACTTTTTAATTACAATGCATCACTATTTTGGGACATTTTTTTCTCTGTGGACTCTCTACTGCTTCTGCTGTCAGTCTGGAGAGCCAGTCTGTTAATCTACTCTGCTCCAGCTCAGATCCTTCATCTTAATAAAAGACTGCTGCCTGGGTTCTCTTTATATCATACAGAAAGGGAAAAATAAAACATGTCACATGATGTTTTAGACCAGGGCTCTCCAACCAGTAGCTCATGATCTCATTTAAAGTAGCTCTTCAGTGCTTGTAAAACATTAGAAGTTGCTAAATTTAATTTGTCACTGGCTAAACAAACTTTCATTTATATCCAATCAATCCATAGATGTTCCTCCCCCTTGGTTGTCAAACAATCTAGGGCTCAGTATGGTTGAATAGCAGCCGACCAGATGATGCGCGGTCACATGGTTGTTCAGCGTTTGCACACACTTCATGGCTCCTTGAGACACACCTTGCCGAGCTCCTTGGAGACCCCTCCCACTGCAGCATACGTCACTGCATGGGGTGTCTTCCCGCTGGAGTCTACGATGGGGAAAAATGACAGAGACCCGTAACTCGACATTTGTGCACAAATCTGTCCTGGTTAAACCCAGAGTTTGTAGTGTGAAATACACTGTAATATGAATGGATAAACACAAAAAGCACATTCATGTAAATTCATTGTTGTTTGTGATGGTTTTATGTGAGTTGAAGACGATGTTTATTTTGCATATGTTCAAATGAAACACAAGCTTATTCCAATGGTTTAAGTTTAAAATTAAATGTTGCAAAAAGTAGTGAGGTGTATGGAGTCATCCTACAGAATTGTGATGAGGCCTGTGTGTGTCAATTAAGGAGTTGTTTGTTCTTAGATTAATGACTCAGCAATTCCTTATAAGGATGGAAAAAATGTGCTAATCCTTACTTCACTTGTAAAAAACAGCTTTCAGCGGTAAACAAGTTTATGTGTCTAATTTTACATCTCAGGAGCAAACTCCTTTACCGTAGAAGGAATTGCATGTAGGTTGGTCCTGCTTTGTTTACATCTGGGTGTGGTAGAAGGTTATAAGAAGGGGAGACCCAGAAAGTTCTGGGGAGATCTTCACTCAGTTGGCCCGAAGTCTCTTGGTTTGGTTTAGGCAATTATTCTTAATAAACCTCACTGTTCAAGAATAACTTTTACCTTCAGAGTCACTTCTTTAAGAGCTCCGTCATTGCTGAGAGTTTGAAGACACAGAAGAACGGTCATCATTAAAATATACTTCAGTAGCTCTTGGACAATTTAATTTCGTGAAAGTAGCTCTTGTAGGGGACCTATTATGCAAAATTCACTTTTTAAATTTTTTTTACTCAACTTTTGGTGTGTACTTCTTAAAAAAACAGTCCTAGGACCAAAAAAATGTGCCCAGGGGCATGTTTACTGTAAGTAAATGTATTTTTAATGTATATTAACGACAAGTTTTATAGTTCAGTCATTTTGTGATGTCACAAGCCGTACGACAACCCACCGGAACCTGCGTTCAGCCCCTTACCTAGCAAACTCCGGGTGAGACACCTCCTTCTCTGTATAAAAAGCTGTCATGGTTGTTGTTGTGCAATGCGCAGCTCATTTCACAAGTCTCCAACAGGGCAATGGGTAGAGTGTTGTACCAGAGAGTGGGAGGCCAGGGTTCGAGACTAGTATGGACACTATTTAATTATTTATTTATTTTTGTTCGTTATGAACACGTTTTCTCATGTACCTCTATTGTTTAGCTTATTAAAGCCTTGTTAAAGCCTATTTGTTCGAGTTTCTGAGGTATTTTGACCGCTGCTGCCCCCTGCTCTGGTAACGGCATGCAGAGTGAGGGCAGAGCAGAGGAGGGAGAAAAAAAAGAAAGAAGCTGCGACCACGACTCTGCCACTGGGTCTCATATGGTTGTACAACGGAGCTTCTGCTATTATTAGCCATGCTAACGTAAACGCTGGCTTTGGAGGGCGGAGTTAATGTCAACAGATTTTTGGAGGGTGTTACCAACAGAGCTCATTAACATAAACAGCTCTTCTGAACGGAAGTCAGAGCAGGCAGAACTAGAAAATGGGAAATTTTATTATCTGAGAATTATTTTGTGCATTAAATTGAATGAACATGGTCTGGATAGCCCACAGACATACCATAAAAATTTCTAGGACCCATAATTGGTCTCTTTTAAGGAAAAAAAGGTTGGAGACCCCTGTTTTAGACAATGTATGCCATTTAGCCATTTTGAGAAAACTATATATATTTTTCTTTTGAAAAACTGGGTAAAGGATAGTGGATACAGAACATAGCTTGCTAACAGCTAACAAATAACCATGCAGGAGCAAAATATCTTTTATTCATTCAACATGGTTGCTGGACATTACCAGTCCTCTGCCTTGTAGCCAATGCTTCAGTTGAGTGTTGCTGCTTGACTCTACAATCATACTCAGTTTTGGGCCTGGAATGTCATCTATGTTTAGGTTTACATGGAAAAAAAGCTTTGGAGTCATGTGTGATGTACGCAGTCCGCTGCATAGCTCTTCTGACATCTGTCCCAGATTTGGGGATTCCCAGAAATTCTTGTGATGTCATCCCTTAAGAATGGTATTTACTTTTGTTCTCTTTAAAAGCAGGGTGGGCACATGTTATTGAGCTGAGCTCCTAAACTCTTCATCCAATTTTAATGTGGATACCCTTGAAGGGAATTTGTGATAAATGAATGGAAGTCTGAATAATATATCAGAAAACCAGTTGAATCTCTTCTAAAAACTTTATTCTCGTCTCTGACTCCAGTCAGCTCCAGCAGCACACAGTCAGGCCTCAGCAGTCAGAAGGCCTTGGTCCCTTATCTGAATGTAAACTAATAACAAGCTGTCACGAGCAGCATCTGTCCCAGGCTGAATCTAAGGAGAAACGGCACAGAAACTAACAAAAAATCTCTTCTCACATTATGGTGAATCAACCTTTAACGTATGTCTCTTCCTGGTTACACCCCTGAGGGTATTACCTTTTACATCAGACGTTAAAACCTAACCAACTTAGTTATAAAAGGCAGAACACATAAGACACACACTCTCTCATTCTCTGTTTTAAACCATACGGCTATAATAATCAGAAAGTATAAAAATAAAATACTGGATATAATATTCAGTTAATCAGATGACAACTTTTTATATTGCCAGGGTGTGTGTGTGTGTGTGTGTGTGTGTGTGTGTGTATCAAGGGCTACATTCACACTGCAGGCAAATGCGACCCAAATCTGATTTATTTTTTTGCCCCATGTGACCCATATCAGATTTTTTTTCCCGACAGTCTGAATGCAACAAATCCTTCTTTTTTTTCAAGTCCAACCCAGGCCGTTTCAGTATGTGGTTTTAAATCGGATACTTATCTGATGTTTTCAAAACGACTGCAGTGTGAACGCTCGTGTCACATTCAAACTGACTTTCTCTTCATCAGGAGGAGGGGGTGAAGGATCGATAAGACACTAACCTCAGGTCACGCTGTTTAAATCTGTAGCTCCATGTGTTTACAGCTCCATAACAGAAGTCCAGTTGCTTCGTCTTTTTACTTTTAATTTTCCATGTAGATAGTAACGTCCAGCCTGGTCGCGGAGCGTATCGATCCTAAAGTTACTCAGTCGATACTTTATTTCCAGCTCATTGTTTCGTTCTAAAAATAAAATGCTTCACTGGAGCATCCCGGTCAGAGGCAGGTTCAGATATAAACACTGAACTAAACAAGCATGTCAGATAATTATTTAATCGGCTCTGATGGAACAACTTCAGATTCAACGTGCTAAAAGTAGCGTCCATGCTAGCTCTGTAAACAAACAACCGGCTGAATGAGACGTCACAAATTTTACTGCGCATGCGTGTCACATCAGTGTTGTGTAGTTCACACTGGAGTCTGATGCAGGTCGCATTTAAAATGTAATGTGAACGTTCACGCCAAAAAATCTGATTTTTTCAAAAAAATCAAAATTAAGCGATAAGACCTGCAGTGTGAACGCAGCCAATAGTTTTGGATTTTTCATTATACTTCAGTTTTATTTCGCTGTGACATTTTTTCTTTTAATTCATTTAGTTTTAATTAGTTTTTAGTGTGGATTTGCTAGTTTTTTATTAGTTATTGCTTTTTAATGCTTAGTTTTAGTTTAGATTTTATTAGTTTTTTGTTAAAGTTTGAATAAACATATTTGCCAAAGTAACCTCCAGCTTTAAGTGTTCCTGTGAGTTAACTAGCCAGCAGCTTTTTGATCAGTCAAAGCAGTCTGTTAGAGCAACACCTTCCTAAAATAATCCCATCACTCAATTTTGCCAACAAAGGACTTGGGCAATTGTTTTAAGAAGGTGACAATAGTTGTCTAGATCCTGGTGCTACCTGGCTGGACTACAGCTTGTTTTTCACGGTAACTACTAAGAGAAGCTGCTTGTCAAGATACTCAGTTAATTAGTCCTTTGAGAAGTGTTCCACCTATTCTTTTACCTGTTTTCCACTACAAGACACTTTTAATTTTCTCACAGTCATATTCAAAGAAATTCCAAATTGGACTTTACTACTTTCACCCAACTTTTGTTGTCGTCATTTTGCAGATGAGCGCTGAGCAGCAGTAGCAGACTGTAAACAGGTGACGTTACGGACCATGATGTGCCGTAAACTGCCCTCAGTTAATGTGAAACTACTCAATTTGAAGAAAAAAAAGATTAGGTTAAACAGCTCAAAGTAAATTCACAAATATTAAAACTAAGGATATTCTATCTGTTATTTCAGTTAGTTTTAGTTAGTTTTGTAAAAAGATTATACAGTTTTAGTTAATCGCTTTTTCATTTTATTAAAGTTTTTATTTATTTCACTTAACTAAAATGTTTTTTTCAATTTCAGTTTTCGTTATTTAGTTCTTTTTGTTAACTATAATAACCCTGGTGTTTATGTATGTGTGTGTGTGTGTGTGTGTGTGTGTGTGTGTGTAGCTAGCTAGCTATAGCACATAATGTAGCAAAAGTTAACTGCAAATGCTGCTTGAGTAAAATGTTCTTGTTGAATTTGACGTTTACCTTATTTATTTTATTTTTTTGTCACTTCAGTAGAAAACGAAACCAAATATTATTAGTTTATTTAGTTTTTCATCATCAGTGAAAAAAAGTCACTGACGTTTACCTTATTATAACACTGCGTATGCATTAGCCCAGAATCTGCTCAAATATTGGTTAGAGTTTTGAACAGCTAATTTAATAAGAGCTGTTGGATTGCACACACTCTACACTCCAGTTCAGAAGACCATTAATCAAGTGAGGGTGTCAGTATTTGGACAGTGAGGAATGAAAAGGCTGGTGTGTAGCAAACAAAAAGCTTGAAATATGTTTTGCTGTTGATTTGTAACCTAAAGGTTTATTTGAAGTCTGTTCACGTGTTGCTTCACCTGTCTGTGCTTTGACAGTAACCATGTCAATGAGTAGGAATAGTTTACATGTTGTCTGATGGAGCAAAATGGAAACTGTTAGTGTTTTAATAACTTCAGCCACTGCACTTCAAGATGTTGTGTAAATATGTTTGTGATTCTGATCAGATGGCAGACTAATTGAAATGCCTTTGGATAAGAGTTGAGATGCAGATCAGCGTTGTCTGTAACCCCGCAGACACTCATTTATTCAACATTGATAAGACAGCTGCACTACTTTAACTGCATTTTGGAAAATGAAGAGCCTTTGCACATTTCGACTTTGTGTAACAAGTTTACAAGTGAGAGACGTGCCTGCACTGCAAATGATGCTGAGCAATGACAAGAGCGCAGCTGCGTGTCAGTTTGTTTTTAAAACTTAATATGAATTGTGAAAACAAAACTAAAGAGTCGACGAGACTCATGTGCCCCCATGTGTCTGTCCATCTGGCTTGTCTTTGCACTGAGTGTGCCAGCTCTGAAACGTGAAAGACTGACTGCAATGAAAGAAGGATGGAAGTAAGCAGAGGATGGAACATTGTGGATATATGAATAGAAAATGAGTGGGTGTACAAAAAACTGTGGTGCACTTTTTTCAAAAGATCGGTGTGCTAAAAACGACAAAGCTCAATTCCACAGTAATGTCCTGAAAAAAAAATTGGGTTCATGCATATGTTTTGAGCAATATCAGTTGTAACATGACTGAAAAGATCGCCTGACTGCTGATTGCATTCATGTTGTCTAAGACAAAAAAGATCTGGGGTCTCATTTATAAAGGATTGCGTGGAAACCATACTGAAAGTGAACGTACGGCCAAAAGGCGGAAATGGCATACGCCAAAAAAAATTCAGATTTATAGAACCATGCGTCCGCATGTTTCTGCGCATCTTTCCTTTATAAATCACAGCCGCACGTCAGAGTTTGCGCACGAGGTCCCACCTCAGGTTCTACCTTCTACACGCCCACACTCAACCATAAACATCAATGCAAAGTACCTCATGAATGTTAAGATGTGTTTAAATCAGTCAGCTGATCAATGCCAACAAAAGTGATTGGACGTCGTGCATCTGGAGGATGACAGGTGCTGACTGACAGCTGCTCACCTGAACAGAATGTCTGTAACTGACACAGATTTTCTCTCATTTTGCTTTAGAGTAATCTAATGATTTTCATAAAAAAAAACTCAGCTTCAAATTAATTTTCTCTCAGAGCCTGCAGGATGATAAAAACAATAAAAATAAAATTAAATAGGTCAAATAAAATTAGAAATAAGTCCACCGCTCTTCTCCTCGTCCTCTCCCCCTCCTGCCTGCTCTGTTACCCGCGGCAGACACCCCTGCCCCACGCACGCACACACACACACACACACACCCCCGCGTGAGAAACACGGACTTTAAACGTGGTTTTATAACATTCACACTTGCGAGGTGGATGCGCCCTGCATGTGTATCCAAAGCGTGACTTTTGCTGTCCTGCTGTTCTAGTCAGGGAGGGGTCTGTGGGTCGGGGAGAGGTCTGTGGGTCAGGGTCGTCTGAGGAGGAAGCAGATGAATGGAGTTGCATACGGGAACTTTTATTTAAGATTTAAGTTTTTTTTATTTCAAAGGTCCTCATGGCTTAAGGAGCAGAAGCATAAATATTACTGTTAAGAAAGCTGATGATAAAGTTGAATAAAAATCTAAGTCTGATTCTGAAGGTAAATTAAATCTCTGACAGTGATCATTACACAGTGTGGCTCTAATTCTTCACTTCACCATCTGTGTCGCAGTTTCCCGTCCCCAAAATGAGCGTACGCATGGGTCAGAGCTGGTGTGCGGCACCGCACATTTTCATGTCAAGTTTGGATTTTATAAATCACAACCTTGGCGTAAAAAGTGGCGTACGCAAGTTTCTGGGCTCAAATTGTGCGTACGCCAGTTTTATAAATCCGACCCCTGGACTGTTTTTATTTAGGATGCTTTGTTATAAATCTTTGTTTATTTCATTGAATTTTATCAGTTAGTGAAAAAGCAATTTGATGCGGTCAAGATCTGGATTCAATCGCTATATAATATTACTTTAATAT